ATTATAGCTTTAATCTACCAAAAAAATTCATGCAATTTTTATTATGTTTTGCATATACTACAAATATAGTATTCTAAATATTCTATCTAAATGTGATAAAAATGTTTACCAACTTTATTGAAGAACGACAGTTTGGAGTTACCTAAAATTTTCCTTTATTTGAAATGTTTCAGATCTATCTTTAAAAGTTTAAAATCACTGGAATACCTGAATATGTCAGAAAATAAATTGAAAGTGATAGAAGACACGAGTTTCTATTCCTTGACTAAACTACGGATAGCGCAATTCTCTCATAATTACCTTAAATTTAATGCCTCGATTAATACCTATCCAGATGATTTTGGGAATAAATCAGTTTTTCATACTTGTACTGCTTTACAAGAGTTACATTTGGCCAGGAATAATATTTCGGAAATATATAGTGATTGGACCATAGGCAGTTTAAAGCTGCGAATTTTGGATCTCCGATACAACCAGATAACGCAAATATCGGTAAGATAATATGCCCGAAATATTATTTATTATTATAACAAATAAGCAAGCTCTTTTAGTTGTTTTTATTTCTATATTGAAGAACGTTTAAAACTATGAATATGTTCTGCTATTTGTAATTACATCATAAATATTTTATTGGAATTAAATCATTTAAAATTTCTTTTTCCAGGCCGAAAATCTACAATTTCTATCGAATGATATTAAAGTGAATCTTACACACAATCGAATAAAATATATCTACTTATCTACAGCTGAAAGATTGGCGAAATTTCAAACAAATCCTCGTAACGTAATAATATACGTTGAAAATAATCCTATTGTCTGCGACTGCGATTTATACGACTTTCTTCGTTACATAGACGGAAGAATGCACCCCTACGTACAAAACTTTTTCCATATAATACCGGGACACCTGAAATGTCAAAGTCCAGACTGGCTTGCAGATATAGAAATAGTAAATTTGAAATCAAAGAAATTAAAGTGTCAAGTATCAGATCCTTGTCCTGACGAGTGCAAGTGTTGGTTAAAACGCGACAGTAAAGCATTTCTAATTGATTGTTCGCACCAAAACTTGACACATGTGCCACATTTGACAAACATCACGACTTTGCCGTCTGAAGTATTTCAGAAACTCGAGTTAAATCTCACAGGCAATAAACTGACCAGAATGTCGCCAGTAGCTAAAATCGGTTCGAGCAATATGCAAATATCCAAATTGCTGTTGTCGAACAATAATATCGATGACATATCTGTAGATGAGTTGCCATTGAACATTGAGGTATGTGAATTATAAATCTTCTTTATCTTTAAGATTGTTATCAATTACAGATTTCATCTTTAATATACTACCATTTATCAGTGATTAACATTATCGGTGCAATATCGCCAGTCCTTTATAAAATCAATAATATTTCCAAACAATCTTAGTACCAATAGGATTAATTTTGAATTTTTTAGGTTTTGGAGCTACACAACAATAATATTAGCAGATTGAACTCAGATGTTTTGCAATTCATGAACAATACCTCCTTAATGACAGTGACATTAGACGGAAATCCATGGATATGTGACTGCGACACAAGAGATTTTCTCAATTTCATTCAAACGAAAGTTATAGAAATCCCCAATTCCTTGAAGATTACCTGCAGAGACATGAACGTGCCGATGTTGAAGATGACAGCGACAGATCTTTGTTCCACGAACATTATAATAATAATCGTGATCAGCGTGGTCACAGCTATCACTGGTCTAATAATCGGTGTGCTAGCAGCACTATATTACCGATATCAACGAGAAATCAAAGTTTGGCTATACGCACATCAACTTTGCTTGTGGTTAGTAACCGAGGACGAACTAGACAAAGATAAGCTGTATGATGCATTCATAAGTTATTCACATAAAGACGAAGACTTCATCGTGAACGAGCTAGTGCCACAACTAGAGAGTGGTCCAAGACCGTTCAAACTCTGTCTGCACTTTCGTGATTGGTTAGCTGGAGAGTGGATACCGACACAAATCGCGCGATCCGTTCAGGATTCTAGGCGGACAGTAGTAGTTTTATCACCTAACTTTTTGGAGAGTGTTTGGGGACGAATGGAGTTTAGAGCAGCTCATAGTCAAGCTCTCAGCGAAGGTAGAGCGCGAGTTATTTTAATTTTGTACGGCGAAATTGGTCCTACAGACGATTTGGATCCAGAACTTAAGGCGTATTTGAGTATGAACACATATGTGAAATGGGGTGACCCTTGGTTTTGGGATAAATTGCGATATGCGTTACCACATGCGCTACCACATAAGCTATCACGTGAGGTATCAAATCCTTCACAATTAGCAAAGTATCGTGTATGTAGAAGATTCTTTGCAAATCCGTGCATACAAATTAACGGCGAGAAGAAAGACCTTATTTATCCGAATGGTGTTCCTGAAACACCTCCTGCAGCGAGCACTCCACCGGCAGATTCTCTTAAAGCATTTATATGCGATGAGAAAAACAGTAAAGAACATTTTGAAAATCTGTCTCCAACAAATAACGCCAAGCTCATTCTTTTGCCTGAGGACTTAATAAAGCATAATCTCCTTAATAAGGTACAATGTACCACCGTGTAATGAGATCATCGTATACGTCCAAGAATATACGAAACATTTTCAAGGCAGAACCATTCTTTAAACAAAAACCTCAAATTACTCATTTTGTGTCTGTGTTTGTGAAACCACTTTTATAAGAATTACCAAATTTATAACATTTAACTTTATCTGTTAACGATTTAACCAACTTAAGCAACGATGCTTATCTACCTCAACTAGTCTAACTCGATTTGGCTTATTCACTAAGAGTTTGGGAAAAAGTCACGTTTCCACAATTGTACTGTTTTACAAGAATTACATTCGACCAGAAACAATATTTCGAGAATATGTAGTGATTGGACCATAGCCAGTTTACAGCTACAAATTTTGGATCTCCAATTTCTATCAGATAACGCAAATATTGGTGAGATAATATATTAAAAATATTATTCATTATACATTATGACATATTAACATATTTGTTAGTTACTTTTATTTCTTTATTAAGGAACTTATAAGACTGTGAAAATGTGTTTTGCAATTTTTTATAAACTACATCATAGATATTTTATTGCAATTAAAAATAACAATAAAATAAATAAAATATTGTTTTTCAGGCCAAAGATCTGCCATTCCTATCCAATGACATTAACGTGAATCTTACATATATAATAATAGAATAAAACACATCGAATCTTTAGCCGAGAGATTAGCGCAATTTAATCGTAACGTAATAATATACATTGAAAACAATCCTATTGTTTACAATTGTGATTTATACGACTTTCTTCGTTACATGGATGGAAGAATACACCCCTACGTACCAAATTAACTTGCAATCGTAGAAATAGCAAAGTTGAGGTTAAAGAAGTTAAGATGCAAGATATTGTATCCTTGTTCTGACAAGTGCGCACGTGTTGGTTGAAACGCGACAATAAAGCATTTCTAAATGGTCATTCACGCAAACATTTGATACATATTCCACGAAATAATCTCACCCCATAAACTCGAATTAAATCTCACAGGCAAAAAACTGATCAGAATACTACTAAATAATATATAAATATCCATATGTAGTGCAATGCTGAAAATTCTTTATCATCTTTACTCTATTATCTCATTTATAAGTTTATAAATTTGTTTTATAAAACTTTAAATATCACCAGAAGTAAACGTCGAGGACAAATTACATGTAATGACTGAAGAAACTTAGTTTTAAATTGCTGAGATTACTGTAAATAAGTAATTTTAAATGACTTCTAATTTATAATAAATTTCCGCTACTATAGTGAAGTAGATTATTATTATAAAAATAGGATAAATATTGAGCTAAATATTTTTTAGAATTATTTTTATACCATAAAATTTATTTCTCCTTAGTGTAAACTTTATGTATGTATACCATGAATTTCTGTCTATCACTATAAGATAAAGTTCCATAATAATTTTATTTAGTAATTGTAAATAATCGATCAATATTTAGCATATAATATTCATGAGATATAATTCAGTATACATACATAAAATAGAAATTAATAGCAATATAATTGTCACAATCTATCTTACCATTCATTTTAATTTTCAATATAAGCCTAGGGTCGCATACGAATTTATATTGCACATAAGTAGATATGGTACATTACTATATATTCATTATTTTATTGCTCAATTTTATGAGCAATTTTATTATTTGATGAGCTCGATAATTTTTTTACAATCATTATTAAAAATCGAAAGTAAACTGTCCATCTTTCAATAAAAGACGGCCATAAAGACACTAATTAGAAATTTCGATTAGAAAAATAAAGAATCTCACTATAAATTGATAATTTCGCTATTAATAATTTTTTATTGTATTGTACTTCAATATGTTAACCCTTAACGGTCGATAGTTTATTTTACAATACTCACCTCTAAAACTACAGAATATTGGCTAAACTATAGCATAAATAAATAAATACAAATGGAAACGGAATTCTTTATGTTTCTGTAGTAGAACTGTGCTATGAGTGTGATAAGTATGAGGCTTCCTACAGCCGGGCACTTCGACCATTAAGGGCGCAAATAATTTTATTATACAGTTATTATTAAAAAAGTACCTGAGAAATAAATATTCATATAATCTTTCATAAATATTGTAAAAGCTTATAATTGTATATTTCCTACATTTACTTACTATAATCATTTTTCGATTGTTCATAGAATCACAAATATAATCCTTTCTCTTTTTTCATATATAGAGATATGAGAATTAAGAAACACTTAGAAGAAATTTTGATGATTAATAATAGGAATATGTATAGGAGTATTTATATTATTCTCATTATTAAAATTAAACAATTTTTTACTACATAGTATATTTCTAAGCATTGGCAGCACAATAAGCAATAATAAATGAACAAAACTACAGATTTCGTTTGAAAAAATTTACTTTTACTTACCCATAACAGCTTTGGTGTGCCAATTCCTATAGATTCGTTACATATAAATCGTACTTCGGATGTGTAGGAGCCTAATTAATATAATAATAATAATAACACAACTGATTTATAATCAGTATTATTTAACAAAATATACGCTGTATACTTACTATTTACACATTTACTACCATTAGAGTATTGAAGTTTTATAACATCTCTACCATAATCAAAAATTACATTTGCTAGTGTTCCATAACCATTGTTTCCTTCACATACAGCAGAACCATTGCAGCTCTTTTCTCCACCACATATACTTATGCTATATTTTTTTCCCTGTTTGTTCTCCACCTGCAATGATTTATAGTAAAATTTTTAAAAATTAATAACATACAATATTCTATTCTTTCACATAAAAATCATATAAAATATCTTATATTAAAACTAAAAATATGTTTATTTATTTTCATAATTTTGATTTAAATTGACATTGTCTTATTAATTAAATTAAAAAGAAAAAGGTATTAACAAACTTACATAGTATACTTTTTCATTTTTATGTAGCAGAGACAGATTGCACTCATAAGAAAGTAATTGATCGTGTATAATGCAAGGAGAAGTCCAATTTCCCATTGCAGCTCCACATGTTATACTTGTTTTCCACTCAAAAATGTAAGTGCAGTCTTCATATCTTTTAAATTCCGGAAATCCCTTGAAAAGTCAATCATAAATACATAACTATAATACTTCTTAAAATCACAAAATTTTGTAAACAAATATCGGTTAATTACCTTGCCATTATTATAACACGGAAATGTAAAATTTGAAGAAATTAATCTTTTTGGATTTTCAGGGCAAGGAGATCCATCCACGTAACGTAACACAGTTTCATGGTTTTTATACAATATAGGATTTTCTTTTGGAAACCCTAAACTCTACCAACAAATATAAATATTTTCTTGTAATTTTTAATTTAAAAAATAATATAAATTTAACGAAGTTTACAATGATTACTTACGATTTCGTCTACATATTCATTACGTGAATTTAATGAAGCTTTGCAAACCGCACTGCCATGTACACATGTTAAACCTGATATAGGAATTAATGGCCTGCATATATTTATATGAAACTCAGTTTTATTTACTTTTACAACATAGTTATTGGCAGATTTTATCAATGAACTTAAATTTATTTCGTCATCTTCTGTCGCGCATTTCACCTATAAGATATAAATTTTTGTCTTTAATGATCTAAAAATATATACATATATATTTAGAAAACTGATAATAATAATAAGAGAAAAAGATTAATATATAAACAATTGCCTAACCCTTTTTTCACAGACTAAATTAGTATTCCAATGTATAATCAATTGACAAGCATTTTGTTCCATAATAAGTGGTTTATCTGGAGATCCTTCTGCTCCACATACAAATGCAATAATTGTATAACGTTGTAATCCATTCTCGCATATGTCTCCATCTGTGTAATTTAAATATGGTCCACCCTCTTCCCAGATTAAATTTGTATTAGCCTTTCCCATAGATATGCTAGTCTGAGTAAGACAAACTCCTAGAAATGAAAGTAAAAATACACATAATCTAATAACAAATTAGGGAAATAAAGTAGTAATATAATCATGTTTAAAAACCGAACTATGATATGAAATAATGTAAATAACCTGTTCCTGCCACACATGAATTATTCACAGGTGATCCACATACACCAAATTTATATTCTATGCCATTTTTTGATATTGTATAAGAGTTTTTATTCATTAAAGATCGTAGATCATACCTGCAATAAAATATTTGTTACAAACTTCTTCAATACTATATTAATTAGTAACATAAAAGTATTTAGTCTAATCTTACGTAAAATTTGTAAGAGGATTATTCACTGTACAATTGCCAGCAGTGGCTATACTACGATTACGTAAAGATTCTACACTACAAGCTGCTGCAGTTCTCCACATTATTTGATAGTGACACTCTTCACTTCCACCGATATATTCTGGATCTGTATTCTAACTCATACAAAATAAAGGCTTATAAAAATAAGTAACTATTGAATTAGTAAATAAAATATATTATAATATTTACCATAGCTTCGAAATCACATTTAAAAGTGATAGAAGTCTTAATATGTGGTACTGAAATACTTCTCACTTTACACAGATCTCCATCCTGATATTCAAGTTTAAGTTCTCCAGAATCTGTTACAAAGGGTGGGTTTTGAATATCACCCAAATTCACATATCTGTAACAAAATTTTATTAGTATCCATAACATATGTATAATATCAATGTGTTGTATGTAACAAATTACACATAATTATATATCTTTTAAATAAAAATATCCGTACTCATTGAATGAAGAATTCTGTAAACAAGCTCCAGAATGCGATTGACACAGGGCTTTGTATTCAAATATTACAGAATGACAAATATTTAATATAATTTTTGGTGATTTATCTATTGCAACAAAATAATTGTCTGAATATTTCGTTAAAGGCGATAAATCATAATGCAATCCTTTATCTGTTACTGTACAATTTCCTCTGATTCGAGGCCCACAAGCAAGAACACTTTTCCATATCATATATATGTTACACCCTTCTAATGTCTAAAATATTAATAATGAAATTGAAATTCACTTATTTTATAATATTATATAATAAAAATGTCATTAAAAATTTGACAAAAATATTATATGCATAAATCATACATGAGAAAATGGTTCCGGAAGAGAATTGTTTTCAGCTTTATAATCACATTTCATAAAAATATTTACAGTATATTTAGTATCAGATGTACAGTTATCACCTGTGAATACAAACATTATTCTTCCATTTGTTATATTTACCACTGGAGGCATTTTTCCTGTAATAACAAAGTAAAATTATTTTATCATATAAAAATTACATTTATTTTAATATTTTAAATATATGTATATAAAAGAGCAGAACCTATTCCTTTTTCTTTTTCGTTTTTCACTAAACAAATTCCATACCCATCTTCTCCATTGCATTTTTGTTTCAGTGCAGAACATAATTGTAAACGTACAGTTACATTTAAACGTTCGTCATTTACAATAGCATCCTTTGTAGGACTTATAAGACTGGTAAAGTTGTAAGTGAAAACACTAAAAACAGGTTCACGAAATATGCAAATATTGTCATTCACTACAGGTGTATCCTGTGTGAAAGAAGAAATTATTTTTTCATAGTTCTTATATTCGTATGAATTTATATTTAATTGCTTCATAAAATTTAAATTAAATAAACAATTTAAAACAAATGTACGATTCAATATACATAGAAATATATATATTTTACCATTTTATTATTTAATATTACTATTTAATGTTAATATTATGAAAAACATATTTAATACGTACAGCAAAAACAGTAACAACTGCAAAATAGTAAAAGAATAGTAGATTGTTTAACTTGTACATTTCTTTTCCTTGTTCACTATATCACTTCGTAGATTAATCACATTGTAAATATTTAACGTATTAACATGCATAACAATATCGTTCGCTGTTGAATGTTGTTGAAAAATAAATGATTATCGTTCAATGACAAATGCAAAAAAATGTTTAAATCGCTTTATCGTACTAATGAATCAACGTTTATTTTAGGTTGGATATCTCTGACCATAGAGCGAATGACAATTGAAAAACCTTCTTAACTGTGGGTAAAAAAGATAGATCCACATTCCCAAATTTTGATTATTTATTAACCGATCAATAATTTTAAAACTTTTTAAAATTATTTTTTAATATATGTTTTGTTAATATCATGTCATAATTATTAAAAAAAAACATTTAGTGATAATTTTGATCTCCAATAACAACTGCAAATTTTATAAACAAAATTTTATATGTTTAAAATTTTAACTAAGTAATTTATATGACATTATAATTAAGATACTAATTGTAGTTTATTCTGCATTATTTTATGATAATAAGAATACTGTGATACATGGAAGCTAACAATACCTAATTTTTGAATTATTTACTAGTTACATTCGTAGGAATGAATACTAACACATCTCAATTTTCCTCATATAACTTCATATGTGTAGTCTATAAACATAAGTGCATCGATATTGTCGTCTAGAATTTGTTAGATTTTTTTTGTTTTTCAAACAAAAAATGGAACGTCTCCAAATACAAGAAGCATTTACTACATTAAAACCACTTTGTGATTCTTTAATGAAAAATCCAGATGCAAAAAGTGCTCGCAATATTGCTAATGCTTTACCAAATATTTCAAACAAAGTTACTCAAAATTTGTTTGAATATATTTTATTTCCCTTTATTATTCATCTACCAAATAACACATTAAGGTACATTATTTTATATCTTATAATGTAGAAATCAATGGAAGTATGTAATTAGTTGATCACGTATATTATTTATAAATTTAAGAAAAATATAATTTTTTAATTATGAAAGATTATAATTTATTCTAATAAATTATAGATATTATCGATGATTTAAAATAATTTCTAATGTAATATATATATATATATATAGTAATTCAATTTATATTTTATTTAGTGCTATAAGTATAATTGAATGTTCATAATTCTATAGTAAAACTATAAAAGAGGAGTTAGTCAAGACAACGCAGGCAATAATATCAAGAACAAAAATATCAAAAGTAAAATACTTTTGTGAACTATATTCATGCCTTTTAATACAAATTTATGACAAATCGCAACAAAGTATGGGTAAGTATAATATTCACCTAAATATATTTTATAGATTGATTGTCCATCTCATATGGTACTAAGATTTTATTTTGTATGAAGTATTTTAACAGATAATTTTAATTTATATTAAATATATATTATTATATATTATCTATATGCGATTTTTGTAGTGATCGTGGGACATGAAGAACTCAAAGAAGCAGTACTTTCATGCATTAAAACTTTGATACATTCTTGTTTCACAGATGTTTTAGAAATCATATATACTAGAGAGAATGCTTCTAAAATAGGACAAGGAATATTGTTGTCAATGACAATAGGAAGGTTTGAAAAATCTGGTTCCCTGAGGTAGATATATGAAAAATTATTAAATCATTTCTTCTCAATAAGTTTATAAATATATGATTATAGTTTTTAAACTTTTAGAATAAATGCTGTTGAAACAATAATGGCATTATGTCAAGTTGATGACGAATCAAATAGATTTGATACAATATTGCAAGATCAAGTAGCTGATATTATTATGTTATTTTTACCTGGTATTGTCAGTGGTTTACAGGAAATAGCTATGGGAAGTGAAACACAAGGACATAAACTTACAATGGTAATACAAAATAGATTCTAAATTTTGAATTTTGATTATATTGTTCATGATTTTATTTACACTTTATATGAATTAAATTTTAGATAGCACTAAGAGCTTGGGGCAGAGTATTAACTCTTGTAATGAAAGATAAAGAAACATACCAAGAAGATGACATACCATCCTTGAGTGATTTAATCAAAATAAATAATGAGAATATTAATCCACCAGAAAGCTTCCCAAATGTGAAAAGTCAAAGTGAATTAGAGAAACATCTTAAAAGTGCAATAAGAAATAAAGAATGGTTTAGTGCTTGTGCAACTAAACTTAATGTACTTATCCAACAATTATATACATTAACAAGACATTCTCATTATAAAGTTAGGGAAGAATTAATTGAAAATATTCATTTATTGCTTACATTATGCCCCAGGTAATACTTTATTTCCATTTTGTTTTTTAAACATTTTATAAACAGATATTGCATACATTTTTTTGAACAGGAATATGAAACCAAATATTATGTTACTAATAGAATATTTAATATCTCTATCGGAGGATGAATTTCCAGTAGTACGAGATAAAGCTGAAGAAGTACTAACTGCAGTTAACATAAATTTCATGCGAGATAAAAATATGAGATCCTTAGTGGAATTGTTAGAAGAAAACTTCTATGATCTGCTTACAAAATTACCTAGGATTATCAGGAAGTCTGGTACGTTTTTGCACATTTTCTTTTCACACTCTTTGTCGAAGTGTATTATAATAAGAATTACAATATTTAGACATAATATAACATTTTCTTAAAAATATTTAATTTTCGAAATAAACAACGTATCTTTATTTTTTAGATGATAATGATCAGTTATCATGCTTAAATCAAATTGCTGGTTACTTAAAGCTTCTTGGAGAACAAAGGTTGCCTCGTGTTATGATGTCTGCACCTCACGTTAACAGACTAATATTGGCTCTGGTATATGTATCTGAAATAGATTGCAGTAATATTTCTCTTTTGCAAGCAATAAATGTTAAGGATCTTGATGATCCAGCATACTCATATGGAACACATTTGTGGAGACGATTTAAATTCATCCAAACTAATGAATGTGAAGCGAAAGTTATTACAATATGTAAATATTTAGGTGAATTTGGAGATCTTCAAATTGTAGTAGATACTATTTTTGGTCTCATGTTCAATGCACCACAACATAGAAAAGAGTTAATCTTATTACTAAACTGGATAATATATGGTATGTTAAATAATTTTCTGTTTTAAAATAATGTAACATATATTATTTATTGTTAAATATTTTAGTACCTATTAAGGATTTATCAATTTTACCAATTTATGAGGAAATTGTTGAATTTTACATAAATCCTGAATTTTGGTATCCACCAATTGAAACGAATAAAGATATACCTTTACGAGTTGCACAAGGCAATGTAGTACAATGTTGCTTATTATTAGAAGGTTTGGGATTAATAGCTACAAATTTGAAACGCAATTATGATAGACTTCTTCTTAAAACATTATATATTATTATAGAAAGAGCAGGTGATTATTTATTTTTATAATGGATAACAAAGAAATTACAAAATAACAGATAAGCATTATATACATACTTTTAGGTAGTGGACATAGCCTAATCAGTTTTGTTGGTACTCAAACTCTTGAACAAATTGCAAAATCTCAAGAACATAATACAGTAGGAGATCTTTTACGTGCAAATGTCGACTATTTTTCATATCATGTTAGTATTAAATTACGTAGAGTAGAACGCAATCCTAATGTACTCGATGTTGTTGGAGTTGTCATGAAATATAGCACAATGGATGTGTTACCCTGTTTGAAAAATATTGTCGAGGATGTGCTACTGCAGTTAAATAGTAGTTTTCAAAAAAGAAATTCTTATGCTTTCTTAAAAGTTTTTTACACTTTTACAATATGTATAAAAAATTTAGTAAACTCTAAACAAGTGTCAACAGTACACGGACAGAGTGTAGATACCAAAACTGAATCTTCGAAAATTATTCAATCTTTATCAGAGTATTATGAAGCAAAAAAAGTTGACGAATATATAGATGACATGGAACAATCCTGTGAAATTAAAGAGGAAGAGGAGGAAGAAAAAGTAGAAGTAGAAATGAATGAAGAAGAGAATGAATATCAAGCAGATTCTATAGAACAAGAAGGTATATATATAATATATTAAAATCGATAATAAGAAGAAATTACTATAAATAAAAATATAATAAATAAAAATTGCAGAAAAAGAAAAAAATCCACCACCTTACATTAAAATGATTGAAGATGTAATGAAGCATTGTTTACATTTTTTACCATCTAAAGAAATACAAAAGTCACTGATTGCAATGTCAACCTTACAAGAGGGTCTTGAGGTTTTGGCAAATTGGGAAAATCAACTATTACCCATTGTGCACTTACTTTGGCATCCACTAGTAGATAGATTTCATGATGGAAATGTATTACTAATCAATCGAGCATGGCAATTATTAAATACGCTCGCTGATGTTTCAAAAGATTTTATACGATCTAGAACGCTTAAGTATGTGTTTTATAATTTATATTTTGTATGTAATATAATTACATTTACAATTACTTTTACAAATAATTATTTTTAGGCAAGTATTACCTGCACTTTCAAAATTTCTAAGCAATTCCTCTAAAGAAAGCTACAACAAGAGCTCTGAAAGTATCTATAAGTTTACTCAAACTTATAAATTGCAAAAAGAACTACTTTCTACCTTAGGGCAGATAACAAAAAATTTATGTCTTCACGAACGAGAAACATTCAGTGTTTTAAGTATTGCAGAGCCATATCTTAACAAACATCAAAATCCCCTATTACAAGTAAAATTTTGATGTTAAAAAGATTTTTACATATAAATGCATTTTTTTACTGTGATTGTATAACTAATTATTTTATATTCATAGGTATGTTGTGTACAGTTGTATAAGGATATTGCGGATTATAATAGTGATATCGTTTGGGTGAAATGTCTTAGCATATTTAATTCTAAAATAAAAAAAATCGTTCCGGATGCAACATTTGATATTAAAGATTTGATGGTAATAAAATAATATGGAGATATCTGTATTTTTTCTTACACAATGAAACGACATAATTATAATTATCAAATAAACTTTTACTATCTTTTAGATTGCCGAAAATATTTCAACAAATGAATACTTCAAAAATGTACATATTATTATGAAATACATCCAAGATAAGACCTCTGATCTTTAAGTATGATGAAAGTAAAAATATATATATTTTAAGATTGATAAAATGAAACATCAACGAACTATAGCAATATTTAAATATCTCGTACAAAGTGTAAATTTGTATTATAATAAATATAATTATAGATTTTTATATATGTATTTCTTTATATACTTTATTCATAGCTTTGCTATTTAAGAATTAAAATAAATAAATGAAACTCCCGCTTAAATAAATAAATGAAACTGTTCGCTTCCTCAATACCATGCCCTTGCTTTCAAAAAGAACCTCTCAAATTTTATAACTGTACCTGAATAATTCCGAATTATACAAAGAAGATGAAAGAATTGGGTAAGAGTATCGTAAGAGTTTCTTTTGACAGTGAACTCTCCATCACTACATTGCCATGTTGTAGACATTTTGAAGCAAGAAGCTAGAACAGTTTTGGAAGAACAGAATCATTCCGACAGTCGACGAAGAACTTTCAAAGAACTGAGAATATTAAGTTAGAGTGTTGTTTGATTGTATTTTGTGTGCAATGCGCGTAGTGAGTGTTATATGCAGTGTAGCAATGTTTATATTGTAGCTATATTTATTACAAAATGTATACATTTAAAGAATGTATGCATCTCTGTTACAGTGCGGCAGACGCAAAAACGCGATGTTTATGCGCCGAAAAATATCCCAATAGAACTATACCCAGCGCAAAGATATTCTGTAACATAGACCAACTATTGTGGGGTACCGATACATATTAAAATCTGCGGAATCTGGCGAATAACCCAGATGTGAGAGATAGGATGCTGCACCGTATTTGCTTGGGAAAATCGCAGTACGTGTGTGATTTTGCTGTGGACACTCGCGGACAGGACAATCGCGGTTTACGTCTCTGAATACCATGGCTTTCTTCTTTACGATTTGTACAAAGTAAGCTACCCGTATATTATATGGATTAAGGATTACTGTGCGCCTCGCTTAGGTCGACTTCCTTTCGTTCGTGTAAGGAGGTTTGCTTGCGTACAGAGGTATTTTGACCGATTTTTAATTGTTAATAACTAAAAAATAAAGCCGAAAACGTAATTTTGTTATTTTCGATTTTCGTCTTATTTCGACTTCAAGAATCACCCCTTAAATTTCCTAACACCTGTAGCCAAGCACCCTGTATATAAGAATGAAAGTGTGGCGGCAATTGACAACCGATAAATTTTGTCCTTCAAGATGTACATATTTTATTAAAGGAACAGGAAGGCATACGAAACGTATGGTAAACCTTAAAGAATAAATACACGAGAAGATAAAGACAAGTAGAGACATAAGTGTGTTTGCTATAAATACACTTCTGTAAGATTGAAGCGAAATCAATGTGAAACGTATCGTGAAAACGAAATAAAAGAAAAAAATAAACAGACGAGAGGACGAAGGACAAGCAGGGACATAACAGTGTTCGCTATAAACACGCTTCTATAAGGTGGAAGCAAAATCAGCGTGAAACGTATCGCAGAAACGAAATAAACGGAAGAACAAGTACACGAGAAGGTGAAAGACGAACAAAACAATGTTTACTATAAACATGGTTCTGTAAGAAACAACTATTATACTTCGATAAGGTGTTAAACAATATAACGAGTACAGTCGTAATACATAGATTTTAAATAATCGACTATAATTCACATTTATGCCTACGAGGTGAAATCAAATTTATCCATTTACTTATTTACTTACTTTTCATTTACTTTCTTATTTAATATTCGAATGGTGTCAAAATGTAGCAGTGATACTAGTACGTTTGAGATTGACTTAGATCTCCGCTGGTATCTGCTAGAAAGCAAAGTAGAAGTACATACTTACATAGTACATGACAGAACATTCGTAATTTCATTGCTCATTTTAAAAATTTACTCCCAGGACAGAACAGATATAAAGGGGGTTACTACTCTCTATGAACAATCGTCACGCATTGCTATCTATATTGCTTATGTGACATTCTAAGTTGGCAAACGAAAGAGATATGAATCTCATTGGTTTTAACGGAAGAAGCCAACCTACTGCACAAAGATGGAAAAAAGTCCTTTGGAAGGAATGCTCACTTCATTGCTTATTTTTGACACTCAACACAATTGTGAAGTTAAGTACGCATATTGATAGAAAGTATCACATATACGAACAGAACAATGTAGCATTGTGTGACGGTGAGCGATAGAGAGCAATACCTCCCGCGCCAATCCACAAGATTTTTTCCATCTCTATGTTATACTCGGACACAACCATATAGTCGGACCACATCTATTTTTATTATTGGATGAATATAGCAATATCCAAATACTTTACATAAAGTGTAAAATTACATTATAATAAATATAATTATAAATTTATATATACATAAAACTTGTGCTTTATTCATAGCTTTACTATTTAGGAATAAAAAACTAAATAAATGAAATTTATAATCTTCCTGATTCTTATTTATATACAATCTTTATTCAATTATGACATTTAACATTTCACAATCTTCGTATTTTTACTTGGAGTTTGCGAATATAAGCGTTCGAATACTTTCGCGAGTCACTATGTGTGTGTAATATCGCATAGCTTTGCTCCGTGTTTAACGGCAATGACAAAATTGAAAACCGCGATCGAACGAAATATACTGCCCTTTTTACAATTTAAGAGTAATTCAAGACACAAGACAAAGATGAAATATTTTTTCAACGAGAAAAGATAAAAAGCATCGAATATAGAATTGTATGACTGTTCCCTCTCTTACCTCCCTTTATCTTAATCGAAGAAAAGGTGTTGAAAAAAGAAGAAACACAAATACCATACAATCGGTTTATTCGTTTCATTAAACAATTTTCGTAATTTATTTGCAGTAATAATATGTTCCTATTTATGCGCAAAATGATTTCAACGACCATACAATGTATAAAATGTTTCGTTATGTAAAAAAGGAAATGGAGATGATTACAAACTATACACATATTAAATTGTAGCAGACTTTAGTAGACTGTACTGTACTTAAAATACTACTCGAACGAGTGCATAAAATAAAAACAAGTGAAACCAAACGATAGGTATCCATCGCAGTATTGCATATATTACTTAACACAGTTTCGGAAAATGTGATAGTCGACACATAATATTAAGAAAAACTAGACACGACTTTTTTTTTATATGTGTAAAAATGTAATAAAAATATATATATTTCTCATATTATTTATCGATATTTCGCCAACGAATGAACAGGAGTGCGCGTGCATCGCTTAAAATCCAATCGGTCGGGATTTCGCGATATTGGAAAGTTATTAAATTTCAAAAGAAACACAATTTCCTACGCGCCATGATAAAGTATAATATGGAGGCGATCATCCAAGAAATAAAATTATACCAAGTGGAAGCAATAGCTAATAGAAGAGCAAAACCAGTGTCGGGCGGTTTGGAGCGAGCCCAGGTGGTCTCGTTCGGCCGTATATAATCTATAAAATCAAAGATTGCTCCGCAGGAAAGTCTATCGTGAATAACCTGTAGAAAGAAGGAAAAAAATGAAATAATCGTGCAATAGAGATGGGTCGAAGACACGAAAGTGAAAAAAGGAACTCGATAGAGATATGTATAATAAATACATCTTATTGTTAGCTTAACTAGACTTTCATGCGAGGGTAATATCAAGGCATACCTGGGCTTTGCGTTCAGTTAAACTTAAAGCTTGTATCAGTATGGCCCTGTAATGGTCGCAAGTTTTATGAAAACCATCGGTTATTATTATTGCATGAGTCAATGACAAACAGGAAAGTAATATCGCAAGACAGACAAAAGGCATCCATCTGTGGTACGGTGATAGACTTTGTCTGGATCTAGTCTCTACATTCAGCGGTGGTTCGCTGATACCGAATTCTCTGCGAATGTGAAAATATAGTGATCCGGTTTCGAACAATACTATTGTGAGCAAATACGATTTTATTTGTTACATTCATATTAACGGATATCTAACAAATTTTATGCAAAGTTGTGTAAAAATACGAAGAGTTCAACTCTCAATATGACCAATTTCAGTCCTCCTCCTAATCGTACCTGCTATCATTATCATCATTGTGGGTTCGTACAGGTAAATTTAACTTCTTCTTCGTACAACTTCTATATCCATGATATCCGGCAAGACATAAATCCAGTAGAACCGTCGGCACCAAGCCGTATACACCAAATTTGCAGATCTTTCCAGTACCCCCCCCAAAAATACCGAAGGCGTTTTTAGAGTATAATATACAACTGCAATCGACGCTAAAACAAACATCCAAAATCAATGCCCAGTATTTCCAAACAGTGGCTATGCAGATCATCGATGTCGTCGATGTAATTATACTGGAGGCATACAGCACACTGAGAAATCGCTCAATTCTCTTTTGTATCATTTTATAAATGTATTTTCTCTCTTCTTCCTCTCGTTACTTCTTGTTCTTCTGTAGGAAGCAAATGTTACCTAAGAATTAATATAAATATTGTATCAAATAACTTGATATTTCCCTCTTTCTTCGATTTTATCATTTTAATCATTGTGATTCTGACTTGTATATAGATTATACGATTTTATTATTATTACTATATGTCTACATTGTGATTTGTGATTAATTTTCTTCGCTACCACTTGTTTGTGTTCATTATTTCTCATTATTATATCACGTACGTATACATATACATATGTACATGTATATATATGTGTACGATTTTTATTTTGATCTTGATATTCATTGTTCAAATATTAGTCTTAAATAATGTAATATGATCAAAATCAGTATATGCATAATTATAGAATATTCTTTGATAAACCATACCCTCTTGCGCTTTTCGATTGATTTACAGTACGAGAAACTAAAATATATAAAACATACTATATCATGCTATATCGAAAAAAATATGAAAAATAAATTCGAAAAATTATTAAATAGTCGAATAAGAAAGGAACAGACAAATAGAAATGGAAGTAAGAACACTACGAAAAAGAGAAAAGGACATTGATACGAAGGAAGAGAAGAGAATAACGTTCTGATGAAAAATGTAATATAACAAGGAAAACAAGGAACCTATACTATTAACCAACGATAGCAATTTTGTGAAACTAACATTTTCTGAAATTTCAATACAAACGCGCGGGTACAAATGTAAAGTGTTGTGTTAACGATTGGTTGTCTGTTCGTTAAAATAAATATTTTCATAACTACTACCATTTCCTCTCGACTACTACTATTTTTATAATAATGATTCATCGATAATTTTTCTATGTTTACCTTAAACAATATGAAATAGAATAACGTTATCCAAACTTGTTCATTAATGTATGTGGTAATTAGCGTTTCTTGATAGGCAAGCAAACGAAACAATCGAATTACATATACTTTTAGTCCTGTTTTTATCATACAAATCAAGTAAAATTACGTAAAAGTGAACGTTCGACGAATTAAAGAATATCTCGAAACAATTCATCCGATCCATGCAAATTCGTGATTAAACTTGTTTATTGCAGTTTTTATACCATGCATGTGTTCCATCGATGTATTCGGTCATAATTATGCACCAAATGCACATCTACACCAATTTCTCAACAATGAGATATTTTTGTAGCGCGATGGAAGTAGATGTTTAGCACTATGTATTATACAATCCCTTACCCAAGTTTACCCAAGTCGATAATAGTTCAATGATGAAGCTTTTTGAAACGTTGTAGCACTTTATGAAAGAATACCTCTTTTTTTCTTTCTCTTAATAAGCTATTCAGTTCCAAAATATATTTTTCTAGTAAAATATTGCTTCCTTGCTGATACGAACAACTTTGGCTTACATCGAAGCGTTCATGTGTCCATGAACATCGCGTGTTTCTTGTTCAAATAAGCCGTGAATTTTCACTAATACACTTATCGATGTAACATCTATACGAACGTCAAAGATCGTACCGAGTAAAGATCAAATATTTACCTTTTACAATAAATGTTTGCGTCCAGTATATTTTTAACCGTCATTATAGAAATTATCGATTCCAATGTGCAATAATGCAAAATGGGGAAAACGAGTTAAATTTTTATTTCCGTTTTACTGTTCGTACTTTTATCGATCTTTTCATTATCAATCGAAACTCGTACGTTTATATTACATACATTACTAATGATACCATTTCTGTTGAGATAATGATCAAGTTTGAGCTGATTTAGTAATTAACGAATAATTTGAATGATCGGTCGTTACTTCTCTCGATTTTTCTTTTTTCACTTAAATTTTTCTCTGTTTTTCGAGAATGGTTGAGAACATGAAGATAAACTTTGATAAGATTATCGTGCCTTACCGATATATGATAGTAATCCAGATGTCACACGTAAACTGTACAGCCTGTCGGTATTGCCGATATAAATCTAAAACTATATATATAGTTATATATATATATAGTTTTACACACACACACACTTATAATTTCTATATATACAAAACACATGCGCGCGCACACGTATACATATGACAGCTATGTTGCATTATATATTATATTATTTTTATTATAAATTAATTTGGCATATTTCATTAAACTGTTTATATTCTATAAAATTGTCCAACATGATTTTTTCTATGTACAAAACAAATCATTTTCGTTGTGCAAATTTCTAGTAGTTCAAAATCTTCTTCCTCATACTTCATTTAGATCTGTAAAAAAAAGTAAAGGAAAACGTGTGAGTAGGATATGCCCAATAACGTTACGATTGTTTATGTTGTATTAATCGTGCAATACGTGTTATCAGGATACTTAAAATGGAACAATCTTATGAAGAATACTAATAGAATTTGTTTTATTCAATCAGTTTATTTTTTGCTTCCATTATTTCATCTCTGTTTTTTTTCCTTTCTTTCATTTAAATTCTTTTTTTTTACTTTTGATAAATTAACAAAAGGAAATTATATAATTTTCTAGAAAATAGAATATAATAAAAATCACTAATACAAATGCAATTTTGTGAAACTAAGATTAAAAAGGGCATAAGCACTTATTGCGAAAGTGATTATTATTGAAAGCGAACATAATTTATTTTCACTCTTATATATTCAGATGGATAGATATATTAAATAACAATTTCACTCAATGATACGATACAAAATTGAAGGACAATAAGTGTAGGGTTACTTTTATATACGAAATTGGTACATGTTAAAATAAAGATAAGGTTTAAAAGATATTGTTCGTAATTAATGTAATGAAAAACTGATTGTTTTCTGAATCACTAAAGCCATATAGTACTTGAACAAAGAGCACAAGGAATATAAGAACATATAAAGGTTTTTGCGATAAATATTTAAAAATATTTTGACAATATACTAAATGTATAAAACTTGAATGTTTTTGACCGAAACAGGAATGGTAAAATTGATCACCTTTGACAATGTCCGTAAAAATATTGTTTTTATATAATTTCTACCAATTACAGAATGTAAACTCTCATGTCATCTCCTTGTTAGTACTATTATAAAATTAAAACCTTTATAAGAAAAATATTCGGAATAGCCAAAGGTTTTGGTGTTACACACAGTCTTACGCCGGATTTACGTTGCGATGCCTCAATTCCTGTAAGACTTCCCGATTACTCCATAAGCAATATACAGATGCTATTGCCAGTCCTACACAACCACCTAATGCACATTTTTTCAAGCCAGCTGAAACAATTAATCAATCATTTGCACAAATTCGATAGATGAATCTTTTTTAGCCACATAAATATTACTTAAATGAAACATACATGTAGATTTGAACAACATGCCTGTCCCAGTTGCTGCTGCTAAAGTATTCAAGGAATCATCCGTGCCTCTGGCCCAAGATAACAGCACACCAAATCCACTATACATTACAGACACTATTCCAAACGTGTTTGCTAATGATGAACCACTTTTCATAACATGGTTGATTAATCTATCAAGGAAAGAATTATATGCAATTTGTTGACATGTCATGGCACGTATAATGTAAAATTACCTACGTTACTAATACTAAAAGAATATTAAAGTACATACTGAGTTCTTCTAAGCTTGCCAGTTTGATCAGCTAATGATGTTGCTTTAATTCCTCTATATAAACCAGTTGTACCGCCAATACCAGCTCCTATGATACATGCTGCACCAATCTGACTGAAAGCCAATTCAAATCTTCCTCTTCGTTTTGCAGCTCCCTCAGGAAATATGTATTCTGGCTGACTTGGAGGAAGATACGCAGGATCAAAGTTTAAATATGGACTAAGTGGTGCTAACCCTTGTTGCGACGTAACTGGTAAATATGATGTAACATATTATAAAATATCTCTGACTTTGATATTAATATGAAATGTCTAACTATACATATGACACTATACAAAATCTAAATAAAACAAATATTCTTCCAGTATTTTGTAAAATATTTTATTTATACATAATATTGAAATTATTGTTTCCTTTTAATATTCAATTGTTTATCTCCGATATAACAAATTTATAGCAACGGCTTTATTTTGAAAATACATCATGAGTATTTACATAAATTCTACACGTATGAACAGATATAAAATATTATAAAAAAATATAATAAAGAAACGGCAGTACATATCGCCTCATACTATACATATATATGTACTTATATATTGAGGTTATACGATCATATTTAATTAATTATACTTGGCTTTGGATTTTACAATCTACATATAAATTATGCCTCTCTAAGTAATATTAATATAATGTAATAATCACATTATTCGTGAATTGATAATGTACATGACTTTATTATTCAATGAATTATTAACTTTTAACTTACCTGGTATATTTAAATTACCATATTTTCCATTGTTTATTGTACTTTTAACATTCTCATCACGTAAATCTATCATTTTCGATGTTAGACCGGTTAAATTTTGGTTTACTCTATTACGTAGACCTACGAATGGCCTGAGTTCGTGCTAGCACGTTTCTTCATAAAATTAGTTTAAACCGCGTACTCTGAATATGTCGAGAATCATTTTCTGTAGGTCAAATGAAGTGATTAGAGATACCTATCGTAAAATATTACATATTTTCAGAAAGAGGAAGAAAAGAAGAGCTTAGAGTAACAATAAAAAATTGTCGGTATGTACCAAGCAAATATTTATGTAAAATAGCTAAATATGAATAGAAGAAAAGAACGATACTCATATTGTCTTCCTTTCTTTTATTTCGTTATCTTTATTTTTTCTTAACATAACAACACATTATGTATAACTAACTTGTTGTAATTATTATTATAATGTAGATAATAAGTTCAGGAATTTAAAACAACAACCATAAATATTATAGAAATTATTTATTATTACATATAGTGAGATTTTAATTTAATCGCTTATTTGTAATAAAATTATTTCTTAACAATCCTATTTTAAATAACCCTATCATACACATCAAACGTCATAAAAAATATTATTTGACGTATCCACGTTACCTACAGAAAAATTAAAATAATCTTAAAATGTAGAAACATAAAAATTATGTGAAAAATATATAATTAAAGTCTCGTTGGTATATGTGTGCGTATCACTTACGCTAAAAAACATCTGAACTATCAGTTGTCGATAATTGAAAATATAGGTGGTTGTAGAAATCTATTTAGATAATAATAATAAATAGACATTTAGATATAGAGTAATATGAAAAAAGGATATATATGTATATATAAATAACTAAAAAGAATATATATATAGCATGATATGCTTACGATATAAAATAAAACATAATTTTATTGAAGTCTAACATACTTTGTTCCGACGACATACAATGCAAGTATTTAAATACGCGTGTAAGTTGTCAAATAAAAATTAGAAAATTCTTAATTAGAGTCGAAATTGAAAGCAAGTTGATTGAATTTGGTCGGAATCGGAATAACGTAAAACGAGCATATCGATCCCTGTTTCTTCTTTCTGATACTTTTCTACTTCTATTTCTATGTAGATAGATATCAGCAATGTCGTGTTCTGTAAACCGAGCGAAAAAGTGGAGGGGAAAAGCATTAAAGACACAAGCGACCTCTGTTGTGGGAATGGTTGTGGGCGCGCATCAAACTATGCATTGCATTGCTGTTGAAAATGGCGTCAGGCTCGGAGGTGCCAGAATATTCGTCCCCAGCAAAACGACGAAAAGTTGACGGCATCGGTTACAACGGCGTCAGTTGCGTGAAACCTGATTTCCAGGATTGTCAGACGTCGCATGATACCCCCAATGAAGATCTCGAAGGTATTTTGATAAAAATATGGTCGATTCATTAATGAAATTTGCAAGATTGCAAGATGGCGGTTAAGAAGGCGTCCGCTTTTCTTCCGTGGTTATCGGTTCATTCGTAGTTGACTGAAGACAAGAGCCGCCATGACAGTTTCTATGTATGTCGCATATCTAACTTCGTAGTTCATTTTTCATTTTATCCAGTATATTATTGCGATGTTACTAAATTTTTATTTTGTAATCCAATAAAATTATTTGTTAATTAACTTGTTTCGAACTGCTCCCCCAACACATTCTTTATAGAAGTAATCGTAAGTGAAAATTCACTCGGTGAAAATAGAAAAACTAGTATCAGCGCGATATAAAGGTGTGTGCATAGTAAGATGTATTCGACGAACGTTCACAGATGGCATGATAGACGATTTCATTATACACAATCCATGAACGATAGGTAGGTACGCGCTTTTCTATCCGATTTAACGGCATCCCGCCAATTTTTGAATATTTTCAAAATGATTTATTACCAATAGATTTCTATTTTCACTTGGATAAATACATCTGTTTCTACATTATTACGTTCGATAAATCGAGGAAATATGAAAAAGTTGGTTTTGTGAGTTTTACTTTTCCTATAACCGTAATTAATGCAGGAAAATAAAAAATTAAAGGAAATAATAAGGAAAAAAGAAAATTGTTTTAATATCTTATTGCTTATGTAATAAAGAAATACATAGTTAATACTTTTACAGAAACATATGGTGGAGATAGTGGATTCAATGAATTAAGCGATGAGTCAAAATCGGCATCTATTTCACCAGATGCTACAAACTTAATGACAACTCCATCACGAATTGACTCAACTAGTGACGACACTGGTTGTCCGTAAGTTTCATTTATACATATATTATCCATTCTTTATTCACTTTGCTGTAATTAATTGTTGAATTTTCACAAATCACAGCGAAAAGTAAATTACCTCTCCCCCTATGTAACATTCCAGAATTGACACAGCAGATGAGAAGGATGAAGTATCATCAACAGTTTCAAATTTATCTGATTTATCAGGACTCTCTGATTTTTCTGGTGAAGGTGATATTAATCATCAATGGAGAAATGCATCTTCGTGGGTTCAGAAGCAGATGTTGATAGGTGCCGATCCTCGAGATCTTTTACATCATCTTCTCATGGATTCTACACAAATTCCAGAGCAGGTCGATGACCTGACTCTTTGGAAGGTGTGTAAAAGGAAACTATCTAATACTATCTAATAATATATTGTACATTGAAAGTTTTAATATCCATTTTTTATTACCCAATATTTTATTCGGATGTATTTCAGATTATAATAAATATGATGTCAGAACCACCACGTCGACAAAAATTGAAACATATAAATACTTTAACAGATGTTGTTAGATTGATACGTAATAGTAATAGAATAATAGTTCTAACTGGAGCAGGAGTAAGCGTTAGTTGTGGAATTCCTGATTTTAGAAGTAGAGATGGTATTTACTCGAGATTGGCACAAGATTTTCCAGATTTACCAGATCCACAGGTGATGCAACTATAAAATATGTTCTTTGATTTATCAATTTTATTTAGAAATTTCCTTCCTTCTACATTAATCGTCATTTGTTCCATTAGGCAATGTTTGACATTAACTATTTTGGTCAAGACCCAAGACCATTTTACAAGTTTGCACGAGAAATATATCCTGGACAATTTAAACCTAGTCCTTGTCATAGGTTCATAAAAATGCTTGACAAACAACAGAAACTTTTAAGAAATTACTCGCAAAATATCGATACGTTGGAGCAAGTGGCAGGCATTGTAAATGTTATCGAATGTCATGGTGAGTGACGTATATATGTATATACACGTACATATACTGCATACACACGCACATATTTACATATACTTACAATCAGAAATTTGTTTCTCATTTTGGAATTAAATCGATTTTTTCACGATATTCAAGGTTCTTTTGCTACTGCATCGTGTACAAGGTGTAAATATCAAGTGAAAGCTGACGACATTAGAGAAGACATATTTTCCCAGAGGATACCATTGTGTCCAAAATGTCGAGTTAATACTTTGCCTCCCATTTCGGAAACTAATCTTAACGAAAATTATAAAGGTAATTATAAATATTAGACACTCTGATAACATTGACTGATGTTGTTATGTGATCTATGGTCATTTTGTAGTCTTTTATTGCTAATTTCTCTGTGGTGTGGAAAATTAGCTACCTAGTGATAGTTTTTGCTATTAGTCTTTCCTGTAGCGCGTCGCGAGTCGGTGGCCATGAGAGAACATTATCTACTCTTAACGGAATACGTCTTCGCTAAATGATGTTGCCATTTACTCTGATCTACGCATAAGTTGATACATCAATTGTAACTACGAGTAAAACCTTGGCTTGTTTATAAGCATATAAGGTAAACTTTTAAAAGTTGCATCAAGTTACCCGTGCGTGCTGTTTAGCCAGATTTGCGGGGTACAGTTTACGATACGCCGTTCAAACGTTTCTCAAACTAAAAAGATACGATCTGTGTTTACGATCGAGTAAAACACACAGCGCAATCTGCTACGGCTAACGGAAATGTTAGTAACAGGATAATTTTCATTATAAATTTTTATAATTTACAGATTTAGTGACACAGGGTATAATGAAACCAGACATTGTTTTCTTTGGCGAAGGACTTCCGGATGCTTTTCACGATGCGATGGCCAAAGATAAAGATGAATGTGATCTTTTAATTGTAATCGGATCGTCATTGAAGGTCCGACCAGTAGCATTAATACCTTCCTCCATTCCGTCTCATGTTCCACAAATTCTTATTAATCGTGAATCGTTGCCACATCTAAAGTTTGATGTTGAACTCTTAGGAGATGGCGACATTATTATAAATCAACTCTGCCACTTGTAAGTAACAAATATCAGCGATTTTGTGTGTATGTGTGCGTGCGTGTGTGTGTGCGTGTGTGTGTGCGTGTGCATGCGCGTGCGTGCGTGCAAAGAGGAATGTTATATCATATATATATCTTTACATTTTTAAAGAATGGAGAGTAGTTACAAAGAAGTATGCTGGAACGATACGATCCTTAAAGAAGCAACGCAGCTTTTGCCGATGCGTCACTTACCAGATGACACTTGGGAGCAAAGCCAAGATACTACGTCAAACACTGTATTGTCTCGAGATAGTATGGAGACTGATTTTAAATTGCACGATTCATGTTCTATTGAAAGTCAAGACAGTCTAATGGTTCATGATAATGTCGTAGAGCAATACGTGGAAAATATGAATGCGCGCGTTTCTCCCTTCTGCAATGACCACACGAATAGTATGGAAGACAAGTTCAACCTTTTGGAGGAAAGTCCAAAGAGAAGATTAGGCGAGTCAAGTGTGGAAAGTAGTCCAAAAAGAATGAATTTTGGCAGCAATTGCATGTTAGATTTTAACTTGTGTTCCTCGAAGACAGAGAATACTTCAGAGAGTTCGATCGATTATAAATTTCATACTGTTTCTGTAGAATCTACGTCAAAGGATATCGGGAAAATTTACAGTTTAGAAGAGTGTCAAGTATTTCCAAGGATAATAGAAATCTCTTCGGAAAGTACATTATTAGATTCTACCTTAAAGCCACATCATTGCATCGAAAATAGAGCATCGTTAAAAATTAATAGCGATTACTCTACGATGGATCCTATTGAAATTGAAAAAATGAATTTTAAACCGAGACAAGCTTCTATCGATTCTGCATTAGACTCCGGTGTAGGTGATAGTTGTAACAGTGTAGACAGTCGAGAAGATAAAACTAACAAAGAAGAATTAAAAAATGGAAGATTGGATCGGCACTGTTGGCATTCTAAAATACGAAAAAGTCTTGCCGTGAGATTACCAGGTATATATATATTTCTTCCTTTTATAATTGTATGAAAATTACAATACGTACATAAAAACAATTTTTACATTATATGTAAAAATATAAGTTGTACGTTGCAACTATTTCTTTTTACAGAAAATTCTTATTATCAGTTGGCACCTGGAAAGTATATATTTCCTGGAGCAGAAGTGTATTCAGATCCTGAAGAGTATGATCATCGTTCACTTTTCATAAATTCCGAAAGTTCAGATAGCGATAGTGATTCTTCCTCCGTGGAAGAAGAAGAGGAGGATGAAGGAGAGGAGGAGGAAGAAGAAGATGAAGAAGATGAGGATGAGGGTAAAGAAGAACAAGTGGATGATGGTGAGGATGAGGTGGGGGAAGTGGAGAAGCCAGATTTAAAAAAAGAAGGCCACAAGGTATTCGGGGCTAATAAGAAGAAGGATGAACAAAAAGAAATAGTGAAAGAATATGGGAAAAGAGAAACAAACGATAAAAGGGAGATGAATAAGGAAGGGGAAAAGGAAAAAAATCAACGAAAAGCAATGAAAAGGGAAGATGAGAGGAGAAGCATGAATAAGTTTCAAAACGAGAATATTTTAGAAGACTAAAGAAATGTAAGTTTGTTATTACTTGAGAATTAACACAGACCAGAGTGACAAATTGGAATTGGGAAAGAAAAAGAATATTAATGCAGAAGCTGATACTTAGCGTGACTGAAGATATAAAATGAACAACAGCAAATTACTCGTACAGTTATGTACATTACTTAGGGTAAATTGTATCTAAGCAGTAATGTTTCAATTCTTATTATCTTCATCAAACTTCCTAGTCTGATGAAGCAAACAATAAATAGTTGGAGAAAAGTGCAATTTTTACCGCATTACATGTGTACAAGCATAGTAAGTACACATACAAAAAGAAAAAAGAACGGGGATTTATAAATAAGACATATGTTTATCTTTCAATAAGATCTGTTAGTAATTTAGTACAGGCTGATTCTCTCGTTAGTTAACTCGATGATAGTAACGCCAATTATACCGTAAATCACATACTTTTCTTTTCGTTTTTCATGTATACATATTTTTGCGCGCGCGTACACACAGAAAAGGGGAGGAAGAGCTATTTCTGCCCTAGATGCTGACATAAGGTTGATTCTGGCTTTTGATAACAGATGTAAGCCGACATGGCGTTATTACTGCGGTGGCATTGCCTCTGTATTAATTAACGAAAGTATCACCCTGTAAAGTAGTATAACAGTTTCTTTAAGTAAACAGCGTTTTACTATCAACTAGTCACAGGACATTGGAAAATACTGTGATTCCTTGTTTTGTATTTACATCAAAAACGTAGCGCAATGATTTAAATTCTTTTCCTTATTAAGTAGTAAATTTTTTTACAAACATGTTTTTCAATATAAAAGGATCATCGATATTGATGATGCAACAAGATCTTCAAATATCTTACAGTTTTGTGATTTTGAAAATATCCAAACTAAATATTTTCAGTAAATTTAATAATTTGCAAATAATTGATGGTTATGCTACAGTAATTCGCATTGTCACACACACGCACGCACACACGCGCGCACGCACACATACACGATAAATCATTGCGATAATTTTTGAATAAGCAATTAAAAATTTGTAAAAAGCCTTTAGAAAATGCAAAAGAAAGGTTGTGCAAATATATCTGTAAAACAGAAGGACGAAAAATTGCGGTTTTACTAAATTGATTAAGAAAGTAAAACTATCCATGACTCATTCGCGATAGATACTATACTCTCTTTATATATATTCTAATATTCTTTCAACATTGTATATAATATTTGATATTATTTCTCCTATTTTCTTTTGTTTCTTTTGTTTTGTCGCATACTAATATTACAAGTTTGGGAACCAATATGTAAAAAGAATTTGATTTGGGGATATAATTCCTAAATGTTTTATGAAGACAAAAAATAGATAATAGATATTCTGAATATTGTGCAATTGTAGAAGGATAAAGAAGATCTAGAACGTATTATGCGGTCTATTCTGGAGAAGGAAACAATGCGTACAATGAGTGTTGAATGCGATAAAACAATGCACATCAGTGTTTACTCATTGAAATAGAAATACAGAAGGATGTAGCTGTAAAGAATGAATTCTCTTCAATTTGGAATATGTTACAAATATATGCATTGTTACATGTGCAAAATTAGTTTTCGTGAAAAGTATTTAACCGGTCGTCTTAAGAGAAAGTTTAATAACAGACAATGAACAATTCCTTCTCTTAGTAAAAAGGAAACATAAGGGAAGAAGATTCCATGATAAATTAGTATTTGCTTTAACATTTGAACTATTTCTACTTATCACTATTATTTCGCTCTTACGATTTATATTATTATAACATGCTATTATCGTTAAACATTTTGCTATTGCATCTACTGCGAAACTATCATTAGCAATTATTTATGTTCTGTAAATTATTATGTAAGTTAAGGAAATCGAGAGAATATCGTGTGTTAGATGTTCGAGAACTATGTATTTTTAAATACTTTATTTGATAATGTTTACGAATATACGAACAAAAAGTATTAATTATGTCACAAGACTTGTAGAAAAGAGTACATCGATACGTTTGGAATAACATTGAATGAATGAATAATCGTATGCGTGTGTACACGCGCTTGTATGTATGTGTTGTATGTACAATTATAAAAAAAATTTTCAAAAACTACAGGAAGGTGCTCTGTATATTGTAAAATTTTAGCGTTGGAAAGTAAGAAGGAGAGAAAGAAAGAAAGAAAGGAAACTGGTTAATGATGAAGATGAATACAGTCTAGAAATAGTTTTAAGTTTTAGCGATAAGTTTCTGATTAAATCCGAAGGCAAAATTAGTCCCAATGATGTCATACTGAATGTGTCTAGATTTGTTAGGTTTTGATTTTTTTTCATTGGAGCACGGGCGAATGTACAAAGCAATGTTGGATAGTTTTGGCATTGCGTGTTATTTTTATATGAAGAAAGAAATCAGTGAATGAATATGAACGAGAGAAAGAGAATGAGCAAGATAGAGAGAGATGATAGAATAGTAACAGAATTAAAAGAGAAAAATAATGAGAGAAGAATAATATGCGACGATATCCGAGAAATTGGATGTAATGAATGTAAATTACTTCTGTTATATGGATCATGTGATTGTAGAAGCATGCGTGTATGTATAGGCACAGTCGATGCCCTCATGAAATGTATCGTCGCCATATTTATTAGGAAAGAACGAAATAATTATATGAAAATTTATTATACTTACTAGAGAGCAAAATAATTGTTCAAAAAAGCGTTATGCTTAAAGTCCAAGATACACGTATGTGCTTGTGTGGGTAGTTGCGCTCGCATATGCACATACGTGTGTATATAAGTGTATACATACTATATGTATACGAATATGTAAACGTGAATATGTGTGCGTGTAAATGAGAGGGAGAGGGAGAATGAGTGTATGTCCGTCACGAGTAGGAAACAAATGAGATTACTACACCACCAAGGATAATTCATGATTTGTTAAATACACTTTTAACATGTTGCATGAAGCTTTATTTTTTATTAGCGAGACATATAAGGGTGTAATGGAGAATTTGTTGGAACATTGAACTTTGCTAAAACATCTTGAATAATTCAAATGAGAGAGTGTAGTCAGTTTTATAAAATTTATAGGATATATCTTCCGCTATGTACAAATAGCTTTATTTATCATTGTTTTCTAAATCGATACGCAAGAAGTATGAATTAGGAATTTTTTAAAGCCTCTACCATTTGTCTTTATTTATTTAAAATTCACATAAATAAATAAATATATAGTAGGTAGGTAAGTTGATAAAGAGTAAATAAATACATAACTAAAGAGGATATGATTAGGTAGATAAGTAGGTAGGTATGTAGGCAAATATTTTATAGATAGGTACACAAGTAAATAGATAGGGTAGGTAAAAAGCAGGCAGACAGGCAGGTACAGAACAGAGACGTATAAATAAAGAAAAAGTAAGATACATATACTATATGTATACTGCACGCAGTATGCATACACTTTACGTGTACGCAAAATATGTTGAATGCACAAACGGTGTATATATGAATGTACGTATACACGTAAAATATGTATAGAAAATTAATTTTAATCGACACTACAAATTTTCCATAACTTTTTGAAATTTGATTCCTCTCTCTCTCTCTCTCTCTCTCTCTCTTTCTCTCTCTCTCTGTTAATCGACTAGAAGCGTGATTGCGCTGTATTTCTCTCGAGTAAATAATGTTAATAGTATCATTTGTTTTGTTTTCGATGCATCATCAAAATTATATTTATTAATTTATTAATATTTATTTCTTTAGATTTTGGCCATTTAAAAGAAGGAAAGAATAAGTATAACAATAATAGGACAGATGTGGAGAAAAATGTGGTGCATTTACATATGATAATACTGTTTAAATACGTCGCACGCTGTCGATTCAGAGAGAAACATCGCAAAGATTCGACAATCATGCCAATTTCTTTTTTTCCACGTACTGACTTTTTGTATAAATGTGTCACCTGTAAATATTTATTATTTTTACTATATGATGAGAATAGTAAACCACAATCGTTTCGGCTGAACAATGAATTCTGCAACATGCTTTTTTTCCTTTCAAATTAAAATATGAAATCAAACCATCTACAATCATTGCTGCTACTATTGTTGTTTTTGCATCTATTTTGTTTATACATATGTCAGATTGATACAAACTAAAAAATGTTAATCAATTTTTCTGGAAATTATTCATCGTTTAGCCGGTACGAAAGAACGAGAGGTGCAAAAGCTTTGAATTTTTTTTATAATTTGTTATTTAATATAATGGATGTTATAGAAATGTTCTCTATATTTCAAACGTTATAAGTTTTCTGTTTCTTTGGTATTATTAACGTGTAAGCTTATCTTCTAAATTAAACACTTTTTTATGATAACAAAATGTCTTGTTAATTTTCATGCAATAATTTCATTCCCTTAGCAATCTTGAATTGAATTTATTATCATTATAAATTATCATCGTCATCATTATTATCATTATTATTATTATATCACTATTATTAGTTTTCTTCTTCTCCTTCTTGTTATTGTATTGATTATTAAGAAAGAATAATGAAAATTTTAACCAGGAAATTGAAGTATATGTAAAGCGCGACGTAGAACATATCGAAGTTTGATCAAAGCTCACATATTAAGTAAAAGAGGAATGAAAATAGCAATATCAGAAAGTCGAGTAATTTTTTGTTTTAGCAGACTGACTTCAAAGGATATTATTATTATTATTATATAATAATTGATTATAAAAAATGATTTTTCCTTCTACTGCATATGGTTGAACGTAGACGAGAAGAGTCGAGTAGTGCGTTAAAAGAATGAAATGCATGTAAAATTGAATTGCAGATCGATTAACAATTGGAGAATAATGAATATATACAGCAGGCAGGGTTGATTCTAATTATTTGTTTGTTTGCTTATATTTGTTCGTTTATTCGTTTGTTTATTCATTTATTTATATATATATATATTTATTTATTTATTTTACTCATTTATTTACTTTATTGTTGTATATCATATAATAATTTTGTATCGTATATTGCAATTATCATAAATCAAATTTGAAAATAGGCTTTAAATTATTATAACAATATATCTTAGACAATAATTGAAGCGCTCCCTGGAATTAATCGAGCTGAAAGCTCTCGCAACAATTTCCACGAGCTTTTACCGAAACGGGTAGGAAATCTTACACCTGTGTATGTAGGGTACCGTTTCAATTACGATATCGTCGCTATGTATATTGAACACTTGTTGAAATCCCCGTTAAGAAAGATTTTCAAATGTTCAATCAAAATGAACATTTCTTATTATGTATTATCGAGTGTTCAGCTAGTAGAATACTTATTACTCGTACTAGTTTCAGCCGAAACAGTGGATGACGTTTACTATTTACCTTCCATTTCCTATAGTTACGTTATATGTTATAATAACCATAATATAATAATAAACATTATTACCACCACAGCAATAATAGTATTATAATAGCACTGTTGCTAGGGACGCATAAAGTTATATTTACGTGACGACGGCCCCACTGCCTGCTTAATGTAATCAACGATATTCATTCATCAGAATAAGATTCGTTATACATAATATTTAATGTAGTATCATTACAGCATACATTAACTCGTATCAGCAATTTTTGTTCGCATTGTCTCTTTTTCCTTTTATTTTTCTCTTATGTTCCTTTTTTACGTGTACGGAAGGTCTTAATTGAACGATTGATTTCGCGACGTCATGTCTGTTGTGTATTGTTTCACCCAAGTAATTAATTTACGCTTCTCATTTATACATTTTATTATCGTTCTTTCTTTCCTTTACATTTTCCCCCCTCTCTCCATATTCCTTTTTATTACATTTTAACATAAGTGTTCTCGCACGACCTTGATAATCAGCGATTGCTTACGGGCATAATGGATCGCGAGTTTCACTTTAACAAAAAATTATAACGAAAAAAAACGAAGAGGCTAAACGCGAAATGTAGCTATTATATGTATACACGTATGTATGTGTGCCGACAGTCTTGTGTAAAATTGTGTACAGAACAGGAGAACCTCTGATACGAGATCATTACCATCAATCGTACCAATGTTTTGCGGATTATATTATATGATATTTTGCTTATTCTTTTTCTTCCTTTTTGATACTCAATGACAAATATATATAGTTGTATTTGAGGGAAAATAACAAGGAAGAGAAGATTGGATAAGAGAGAGAGAGAGAGAGAAAGAGAGAGAGAGAGAGAGAGAGAGATGATATAGCGATTTAGCGAAGAGTAGTGGTAGAGAATAAAAGTAATAGGAAAAAAAGAAGAGAAAAGTAAAGTTATACCACATAGTGCTTAGAAATTGGAAACAAGTTCCCTCGTGTTTTTGTTTCTTCTATTTCGGTTGTTTCCTTTGATTCCAAAATATATAATTACCCAACCAGAGATAAAAATAACTCATTTTGATACGACAATAATAATGTTATTATTGTTATTAATATGTATCATTTAATTAACATAATATTATTCGGCTATCCCTGTGGCAAATCGAAGCCTTTATTTTCGCACGCATGTAGGACACTTGAAACGAAGCTTTTAATTCGATACACGAAATTCAAGGAACAGAAAAAGGATAGAAGGTTTTAATTCGAGATGTACTGCTACAAGTGAAGCGAAAGCTGATGTACTTATCGTATGCGCATTTGAATTTATTATGACGAATGTCTATCAAATATCGTAAAGTTTGAGTCTCGTAACTTGGACAAAGTGATCCATCCGCGGTAACGATCAGCATAGGAAGAAGATTCGTAAACTGTCCTCGATATTTCATATGTTAAAAAATTGGTTACAGAACAATCCTGGAGTACAGAAGTAGCGTGGTCGAAGTACGATCAAAAATGAATTAGAAACAAGTAACAAACATCTTTTGTTCTGTTTCAATCTCACATGACTATCTTTCCCTTTTTTCTTTCTAACATTTCCATATCGTATTTGATAATTGCTTGTATTGCATGATTATACTAGACAAATAGTAGTAAGTTGTAACGATTTACCGCCTTATCACCTAACATGACAAATAATATCGAATCTGTGTCGCAATGGATACAATTAGGATAATAATGTAATTTAAGTATCTAAAAACAATGCTTCGTATTCCAGTTACATCTATTTACTACTTCGAATTCCAGGTTTTATTTCATTTCATCCAGGTAAGAATTTCTCCCTCTTTCTGTTTTTTTCTTTTTAATGAGTCCATTTATTCCATGCCTGAAATCAAATTATTTATTCAGGATGTATGTAAAAAGAAATAATAAGAGATATGACATTAGAAGAAAAATGGAAAGTGATGGTGATGCAAATAGAGGAGGAGATTAGATTAGTACATGAAATTATTGCACAAACATAATGTTCTAAATAACGTATGACTGAACAAAGAAAACAAACGAGAATGTAATAAAAATACGAGCTCCATATGTATATAAGTACATTTGATTATCCACAATTTTAAAATATTCACGATGAGAATACGCGCATAATCGTTGACAATTTTGGTTCGAAAGAAACTTAACTTTGTAATTTGAACTCTACTTCGTCAGTTATGCTATAGCTCTTCGTAAAGTAATTTGTAACATACCGGATGTTGCTTGTCTTGAACAGTATCAGGTATTCCCCATGCTGGTGGATCCATTTTGTTTGCTTCATTCGGAGGAATTTCTGTCAATGTAGGCGTACCAAACTGTCCCGGCAATAGGGTTAATCCTGGCATCAGAGATAGAGTGGTCGCGCTTCCATTGGGAAATGGCTGCTGCTGAGTATCAACGTGACCCTGCATATAAATCAAATTGAAACTACTAAAGCTAAAGTTAAACATGCAAATTATGTACATAAATTAATATCAATATTCTTACATTATTTGTATTGTATTTTCATGGCGTATATGTATATATATATAGTCATACTATATATATATATATATATATATATACATTTTAATATATAAGTGTTATATATTATAACACTTCTGAAAGATTTTTAGCAGCAAATTAGAGGGAAGTATGATTTTAAGTGAATTGTATACTCTGTGTACGTACACGATATTCGAATAGGAAGGAAGAAGGAAGAAAAAGATAGAAGGAAGCAAAAAGAAAAGAAAGAAATAAAAGACGAGAAGCATGACATAGAGAAGTTACCTGGAATGAAGATTCCATCATGTGATGAAGTTCGGCATCGACGTTGGATATACGATTATAAGTAGCGTTAGATCGGAACATTTGGTGTCTGTCTATGCCCGGAGCCAAACTCGCCCAAGATCCAACAAGCTTTTCATTGTTCAACATCCAATTAATAGAATCTGCGTCACCACCAGGTCCCATCCCTGCCGTTGCGTAATTTTTCCAGGCTCTTTCCGTACCGATAGGTCGTGGTACTTTACGATCCTCGATCTTAAGCTGATTCATTTCTTGAGCTACCTGTGCCGGCGAAGAAGGTGATATAGCCGGTGAACCGCCATTCTCTAGGCTTGTAATCAAATCAATGCTTCCAGGTTGTGCGGATAAATTTGCCAAATGATTGGAGAAACCAATTTGACCTATCATTGGATCTTGATGGGGCGGGTAATTATTGTGCGGTGGAGCAAACGGCCAACGAGTTTGCCCGTTAGTCGAGATTCCGGTATTGCCGGGAGTGGCTCGAGATGGTGCCTGATATTTTCCTAAA